ATAAAATGAAATTCATATTATTTTTGAGATTTTTTTTAATTTTCAGTTTAAATTAAATAAATCTATGTACAAATGAAATGAAATATATATATATATATTGTTAGTTTTTTGATTAATTGTTGTCTCACATCGGATATATACCAAAGATGTGTAGGATCTTATTAGTATAAATAGATGTTTTGCCTTTGGGTTACAATTGCACCTTATTCTATTCTCTTCTCTCTTAAAATGAAATCCTTAATTAAGGAAATCTTAATTTTTTGGTTATTTAAACCTAGTTGTATTTTGTTGGTGAGTTTAGTAAATTTGGCGTTGCGGTTGGCGGTGCCCGGAGACGTAGGCTATTTTCGCCGAACTCCGTTATCAATTTTTGTGTTCTTTTTCTTTCTCGTCTTTTATTTAGTAGGCTATTTTCGCCGAACTCCGTTATCAATTTTTATGTTCTTTTTCTTTCTCGCCTTTTATTTATTTGTGTTGGTTTATTTTCATTTGGAGTAGTACTTGTCATATTTGTTGAAGGTGCATTTTTGTCCGTTATGTTTGGTGTTCTATCCAACAATTATGAACAAGGGTAAGTCAAAGTGAATGCATTTGAAAGGAGAAAATGATGAGATAACAACAACAATGATAATGATAATGATAATGACAATAATAATAATAATAATAATAATAATACACTCCATTGAATTTGGCTTTTTATCGACCAACCTGTGAGTAAATTACAATATCCTCACCAACCACAAAATCAAACTTTACTATTACTGAATCTGACTTTCACTAATCTTCACACTCACAATCTCATTTACAAAACCAACCAAATCAACTTTTATTTAGTGTCCAAATAACCACTTACATAAAGAACTACCTTTTCCAATTAGTTACACTTTAATAGCTGGTTTCTTATATGTCATAAGACAAAAAAATGATTTAATTTTTACAAATGCTATTCGTAGTTTGCGAGTGACTAGATAGTGAAAGGAGTGATTCAAAGTAAACAGAGCAATGAAAAAGAAAAACTGAAAATGCTTCACATCTCTCTCTCTCTCTCTCGCTGCAACACAAAGTTTGTGACTATAAAAGCATTGGCTCCAGCCCCAAACCAAACTCACCAACACTCTCTCTCTCTCTCTCTCAAACCACACATACGCGCACAAAATGCAGTCCACCGCGGCCGGTTTCATCCTCCTCCTCCACCTTCTCTGCTTCGTTCCTTCATTCAATGTATGCTCTCTCTCCATTCAATTAGTTCAATCATGTTAATATGTCCTTTTGTTTCAGCGTTCTGGATTTAATTAATTAATTAATCGATCGTATTCAATTAGTTTAATCATGTTAAATATCTCCTTTCGATTCGGACTAATTGATTGCAGGGAGAAAGCCCCTTCACTCCAAAAGCTTCATTAATCCGCTACTGGACAAATCACATCTCCAACACTTTCCCGCTCCCCGAATTCCTTCTCAACAAAGCCTCTCCTCTAAGCGCCGCCCAGCACGCCGCCTTCTCCAAGCTCGTCGCCACCAATCCCACATCGCTCTCCCACCAACTCTCCGATTTCTGCACAAAGGCCAAACTCATGTGTGCCCACGCCTCGTCATCCCCAAGCCTCGACAAAAACCCCAACGACGTCAATTTCACATCCTACACCGACAACAAAAACTTCACCAACTACGGCACCGACAAACTCGGCGGTCTTGACTCCTTCCAAAAGTACTCGGAAAACGTCAACATCCTCGTCGACAACTTCCGCCGCTACAGCCGCAACTCCGTAGGCCACAACGAAGGATTCGACAGCTACGCGGCCGACGGCAACGTGGCCGAACAGAGATTCAACACCTACGGCGCCTCGGCCACCGCCGGCCAGGGGCAATTCAGTAATTACAACAACAGAGTCAACGTGCCGCACACCGTCTTCACTTCGTACACCGACCAAGGCAACGCCCGCGCGCAGTCCTTCGTCACCTACGCCGCCGACGCCAATTCCGGCAACATCGGGTTTTCTAATTACGGAAAGAACGGAAACAGCGCCGCCTCTGCCTTCTCCGCCTACGGAAAAGACTCCAATGTCTTGGGCTCTACCTTTTCCAATTACGGAAACAACGGAAATGCTGCTGTCGACAACTTCACGTCCTACGGCGACGGAACGAACAACCCGCAGAACGTGTTCAGCAATTACGGAGAACATGGCAATGCGGCCACTGAGAGTTTTGCCAGTTACAGAGACCAGGCGAACGTCGGGGGCGACAACTTCATCTTCTACGCAAAGGACTCGAACGCGGCGCGCGTCGTCTTCCGCAACTACGGCAACTCCTTGAACCAAGGGACCGACAAATTCGACGCCTACGGAGAGGAATCCAAGACCGGATTCGAGTCCTACGGCACCAACAACACCTTCGCGCGCTACTCGTCCGACAACAACGCTACGAAATTCACCACTTACAGAAACGCCACCTCATCGACGATTTCGAACAAGTGGTCGGTGGAGGAGGGGAAGTTTTTCAGGGAGGCGAAATTGAGAGAAGGCACCGTAATGCGTATGCCGGACATAAAGGACAAAATGCCGAAAAGGTCGTTTTTGCCCCGCACCATAGCTTCCAAGCTGCCCTTCTCGACCTCCAGAGTCGAGGAGTTGAAGACGATCTTCCACGCGGCCGACGACAACTCGTCCAGCGTGGCGAAAATGGTGACCGACGCGTTGACCGAGTGCGAGCGGGCCCCGAGCCGCGGGGAGACCAAGCGCTGCGTGACTTCAATCGAGGACATGATCGACTTTGCGACTTCTGTTCTGGGGAGGAACGTGGCTGTGCGGACTACAGAGAACACACGAGGATCCAACGGTAGTATTTTGATCGGCGAGGTCACGGGGATCAACGGTGGGGATGTGACCAAGTCCGTGTCGTGTCATCAGAGTCTCTTCCCTTACTTGATCTACTATTGTCACTCGGTCCCAAAAGTCCGGGTATACGTGGCGGATATTAAGGACCCGAATACCAAAGCGAAAATAAACAACGGTGTTGCCATTTGTCACCTGGATACTTCGGATTGGAGCCCGGGCCATGGGGCTTTTCGTGCGCTGGGCCAGAGTCCTGGGAAGATCGAGGTTTGCCATTGGATTTTCGAGAATGATATGACATGGACCACTGCGGATTGACGGGTAGGATAACGGGTCGGGTTCAACTGTTGAACCAGCTGTGTTAGGTGAACCAGTGGTTTGACCTTTGTTATTGATATTATTATTAGTTAATTATTAGCTTAAGCCCTAGTTATTTTTCAATTTTTGAGTGGTTGATTGATAATTAGTATATTGCTGTTAATGGAGACATCTTCTTTAAATGTCAATAGTCATGATGACCACAGCTAATCATCTACTGTCACCTTTCACTGCCCACATTTGCTTTATTATTTTATTAATTATTATTATTAGTAGTAGTTGTTGTTTTATACTCTCTCCTATTTTTAATAAATGTCGTTTTGAGAAGTTGCACAATAATTAAGAATATTTTGTTTGTCAATAACAACCCTCATTAATGAGGATATAGATTGATGTTTTGAGAAAAGATGAAGAGTGAATATGAAAAGACGTAGTGTATTTATTAGTTAGATGAGGCTAATAATGGAAAAATATGTATAAAATAGCTAAAACGACATTTATTTCACAAATAATCAATTAAGCTAGAATGACAAATAATAAAAATAGGAGGGAGTATTATTTATAACAATTAGTAGTTGATAATGTGAACATGTACAAATATAAATTATAAAAAATTATAAATTATGTGTATATATATAATATTAAAATTATAAACTAGATAATGTATATTATATTTTATAAATTTAATTATTAGTAAATGGACATTATAATACAAATCTCGTGCGATGCACGAGTAAGAGATATTCATTAATATTTATAATTAAAATTTTCATTAGATAATATCTATAAATTGAAAATCTATCATTATATTAAAAGATTAACCATTTAACACTTTTAGCAAGTTTTTCCCGCCAAATACATTTAATGTCTCCTAAAAATAGAGCAGCATTAAATGTTGCCCTTAAATGGTAAACAAATATTACTTTTTTATGATTGATTTAAATTTAAATTTACGTCTGTTTAAAAGTAAAAAACTACTTTTGTAATTTCAACAAATTTGTACTCTTTAATGTACGGCTGATTTAAAATTAAGAATTTACTTTTCTATTTTCACAAAAAATTGTATAAAGAAGTATGGCTAGAATAATAATAAAAAATTAATTTGTTAAACCATATTTTGCACTCATAGATACGAATTCTCATCAAATTCAAGATTTAAAATTGTGAAGAATGCATATAGATGTGGACTGATTGAAGATATATAATTCCTTAAATTAAGGAATTTTTTCTGGTAAAAAAAAATATAAACTTTAAATATAGATTTTATTAGTATTGTATACCAAAGAATATTGTTACATTTAAAATTCATATGAAGAAGAATTCTATTAATTTTCAAATTCAACAACTCATAAAAATAATATAATACACTTTTACATTCTATGAAATAATATTTAAAACCCACCGTTCAACATGCATAAAATGTAAAATTACCTAACATGAATCATTTTAACTTTCTAAAATCAGTACACAATTTGCTCGGTATGTACTAATAGTCTAATAGTTAAGAGTTAATATTTGTTATGACATCTATTGGTTGGAAAGAATTCCATTTTGTATGAAATTCGAAATGAAAAAACATATTCTGAAAATCAAATTTGATTTAGAGATCGATTTTTTAATGACCTTAAATTATGCAAATATATTGTTTCAGTTTTTAAGATTCTTTTTTATGATCTCAGTCTTTGCATTATATGAAATCTATACTTATATAAAAAGTCATCCTATTTACTAGAAATAGTAGGAAGAAAAGTCAAAGGTAATTAATGCTTGCTGGAAATAGAATGATATTAATTACAAATTTGTTTTGGTATTCATAGGCTTGACATTAAAGATTTGTTATGGGATAAAAATCAGAACCGATTTTTTTACCTTTGCTGGAAAAGTCAAAGGTACGTATAGATTTGTTTTATCCCATAACATCGGTTTAGTTAAGAAAATCCCATCAAATCAGTTTTATATGTCAAGCCTATGAATAAAGATTTAATGGGTCAAAATTAAATCCTTATTTTACGTCACCCATAAATAAAGTAGATGTCAAGCCTAAATTGAAGGGTTTAGTTGTCTATATATTGATTTAAGTAAACACAATTAATGTTTAAAGTTTGTGTAGATTGAAAATTTCTTCTTATCTTTTTACAAAAAATCTTATTATTATTGTATGGAAAATCAAACTCATAATGTTGTGTACAAGGAGGTCTTTAATAATATATGATTGTTTGTTTGTCGAATACTATCTTATGTACAATTTTCCTGCGTATTATAAAACTTTTATTGAATATTGCATCTTATAATATAGTATTCCTCAAATAAATATATCCCGTGTCTCGCACGGGTCACGTACTATATATATCCCGTACATTTTTCTGTATTCATATAATTATAAGTCTGGATAAATAGCCTTAAAATTGTGCACCCCGTGCATCGCACGGGCTCTGTACTAGTATTGAATCAATATGTAATACAATTTACATATATTAATTTATTGAAAATGTTATATGAAATTTTAATTGTGCAAACTTATATAAATTATCTATTTAAAATTAGTACACAACTCGTACGATGCACGTAATTGGGAATAAATTACATATATTAATTTCAAAATCAGTGTCAATTTAAAATTTTTAATAAATTCAATTTTACTACAATGTGATTCCATAGAATATATATATTGGTAAAATCATATATTTAAAATGATATGTGAATAATAAGTATATTATAAAATTTATATTGTTTCATTAATTCCAATGAATATATTTTGTGTAAATTATCCAAATTAAAAAATTTAAGTAGTTGAGTAATTTACTAAACAATAAATAATTGACTATTCCATTTACGTCCAAGTTAATACTGACCCGTAAGTTTTGAATAATTACTTATTTTACTTTTAAATTTAGAACTCAAATTTTGACTACATAATAAATACCTTTATATTATCTCGCAGTTTTCTAAATTTATTGTTGGTTACCTTATTATTCAAATTTATCAATTAATTTTCTAGAATTAAATTAAAATTTTTAAAGATTATTAACCAATATTTGGTCAAAAACTTTTATGATTTTCAAGAGGAATATATGTCAATTTTTCTAATGATCATCAATATCTTATAGCAAGTGATATGGGATATTATATACCCATGGAATAAACCGGTTTACTATGTCGGCCAGACGGGCTCAAGGCGGGAAATGCCACGTTGGTCGAGCAAATAGCAGACTGAAAGAGAGTAGTGGAATATCGTAGTAGATCTGGTCGAAGATCGACATGATAAAAGAGAGCATACCTGATCGACCACCCAATTAGTGAAGAGCAATCGAGGGTGTGATGCATACGCCAGGAAGCGCGTGGCCTTCTTCAAGAATGCCTAAGGAATATTCAAGGGAACAATTACCCTCTGCACAGAGCGCACGTGGCGGAGATGTATTGGTGCATAGCAATAGTGGCGATAACCACTTCTGACACACACACACACTCTGTGCGTACGGACGGGCAGATCCGGGCAGCTTTGGGCGGACAGCTCACCAAAATCTGGGCAGCTTCTAGGGCAGGTATCTCACTCCTATATATAAAGGAGTGAGCCTTTCTTGTTACACACGATTTATCCATTTTTACTCTTGAGAATTGAGTGAAACACATACTGACTTAAGCATCAGAGGCTCTTCACCGGAAAAACCCCCCGGTGTGAGAGTTCTTTGCAGGTACGCAGCGTTCTACTTGTAACACCCCGCTTATCAGAGTAAATTTTTCGCAACTTTTACTTCGAAAATACTTTAACTCTTTTGAAATCTTTTGCGACTAACTCGGAATGCTACTCAAACTCATCATCTTGAAAATCCGTTTATCTTTAAACTTTTGTCTAATACTTCTTTAGACATAAATAAAACAGATTTCCTTTAAACTTGCAATTAAAATACCATAATCATATTTCTCATAATGGTAAAAACTTGAAATCTGAAATTCATTAAAATGCAAGTTCAATACTTAATGTGCATAGCGGAAATACTTGAAACGTGGTTAATTATACAGACTGTTATAAATGTCCTTATCAAAGCTTGTCTTCTTCTGAGTCCACGATCCACACCAACACTGCTCCACTCACACCTCCTCTTCGACCTGTTACCTGAAACTAAAACTCATGGGGGTAAGTAACGAATATGGATAATCATAAACCGATATCTGATCGGTAACTTAAACTTTTCTCTTATCTTGCGGATAGTTAATCGGATACGTGTGCACACTCTGATGGATATTTCTAAGGCACCTAACGGCCTCCATCAGAACTTAGGATATAATCTCTGAGAACAAATTAATGCCTCCTCATCCCAAGCGTAATAAACTTAAACTTTAGGATATACTCTGAGACAACTGATGGTCTCCTCATCCCATATGACATCAATATCGTACTCAACGTGATACCCATTCAGGGTCCCCACCTGTTCTTCTTTTGAAAACTTTTGAAAACTGTAAGTGCTGTGTTGGGTAGCTGTATCTGCAAGCTACATAAAAATATAAACAAATATATTAAGTACTATGCTCGTAATACTCAATAAGATGCTAGGGTGCTCGACTCTATCAAGTAACTTATCCAGATATAATGGAACACTCTAACGGTTCTCTAAATCTTACTAAGTCTGAAAATAAAACTGATATACTTAACTAAACTATTTTGGCTCAGATAAATACTCAAATTCTGGAATAAAACTCAGATCGAAATACTCGAACCATAAATACTTGAACTACCGACCGGTCTAACTTAATCGAACCGGAACCTTTTCCTACTACTCAAGTTATATATGACTATATTTCAAGGATTTTTATCCAAGTCAAATTTCATAATTTAATTCAATTTAACTTGAATTAAAACAATTTCTGTAAACTCCATGATTTCTCAAAAATCACTCTTAACTCTAAAAATTATGAAACTTGGCATTTAAATAGAAGATATACTCAAGTACTTGCTGTTCAAATGTCATCTCTATAACACTTCAATAGCTCATTCAACAAAATTTCTAAACTTAAACTATAATTATGCTAATTACACGTATAACTTCAAACAATTTTATAAAATTACATACTTATTATATCAATCTAAAACTTGGTCATCTTGTTCAATAGTCATTCAAGAAATATTAATAAAAGTTTCACCTTAAAAACTTGAATGTGACATAAGTTCTCTCGCATATACAATCAACTTGACATGTGTCCTATATAGAATTTTTATCTCCTTCATTTCTCAACATAAAATTCTGAAATTTGGTAGGAGGATTCTCAACATATAGATAGACATGTCATTAAAAT